CAAATAGAGAGGGAAGCCATAAATTTTCCCTCTCCAAAAGGAAAGGAAAGATAATTTAAGAAAAGGAAATCGAAACTTATGGGCGGTGAGTGTTAAGAAATAGTCATACATCTTAAGGTAACCCAGATTTGGAACTCTTCCCTTATTCTTAGATGGTTTTCATTCTTCTCTTTTTTTAATGTATTTTTTATTGAATCCTCATGCATTTCATACAATACATCCCAATCATATCTATACTCCCTCTCCCATCTATACCCTCCTTCAGCTGGGACCCTCCACAGGGTTTCATGCATTCTTTTATATAGGTTGAGGCCCATCAAGTCAAGCCTGTACTCCCAGATGTCCCTCAGCATGTTGAGTTCATCCACTGGTGGCTGGTCAGCCTATCTAACATCACTCCCTTAGAGAAAATCAACTCTCTGTCACTGAGCAATGATCAGCTGCCTATAGTTCCCCTGCTAAGACTAGGGCCTGCTACCCATTTCCCCAGTGCTATGCTGATTTTTGTCTGATTGATTTTGCAGGCATCCTGTGCATGCTGTCACAATTGGTGTAGGTTCATAAGAGCAAGTTCCCAGAAACCTGGAAGACTGTCTCCCCATAGTTAGGTACTACCCCTGGCTCTCACAATCTCTCTGCCCCCTCCTCACAATGGTTTCTGGGTCCTGAGGTTTAATATAAGTCCCATCCAGGGACATGCACTCTGCAGGCTTCCATTCTTTACACTTCATCCAGCCATGGCCCTCTGTTTCCATGGCCCTCTGTTGCATGAGAAAGTTGTTTATAAGAGCTGATGCTTTTCAAGGACATTACAAAAATTCAGCTATCTTCTTGGTTAATTACTAGCTTCTGCCTGTGTACTTTCTTTGAAAACAGAATGAAGTTCTATGATCTTAAAAGATTCCTAATATCTCCTTGAGAGTTGAATGAAGCATTTAGATATTGGAAATAAAAAATGTGGGTGAGAAAAACTAAAAATCTACCAATGACTTCCTCAGAATTATTAAGATTAAGCTTTCCAGACATAAATATAGCATTTCCAGTTTCCTTTGGTTTTCAGGTAAATGATAAGCAATATTTAGAACCTGTCCAACATTTATTAAATAAAACATAATTTTAATATGAATCTATAAATTGCTCCTTTAAAACAGAGTATTTTGAGTATTTTGTGGGAATTTCATAAAGTACAAAAAATTTTATTTACAAGTGCCACAGGTATAAACATATAGAGGTGTTTGTCATTTGACTGTCCTTTGATGCCATTTATTTCTGGATTTTTTTCTTATACTAGACTATAAACATTGTGAAAATTGAAATAGATTAATTTTAACAGTTATGAAGTTTGGGAGTAATTAATTCCTATCTGATATGAACATGCACAAAGTTTAGAAAAGAAATCACTCCTCTTATAACTTCTGTACTCTGTCTGCCCTCATCCTTAGCTCTAAGTCAGGCTATTTTGCATGTGTATATTAAGATATTCAAAAGACACCAGAAATATACATGATGAACATTGTCATGCAAGATGACAAGAATGTTAATAAACCTAGACTTCTTCAGAGGGATATAATAACTGACATAGGAAATGAAGTCAGACTCAAGAAAGAAACTAGAGAAATTATCAACACAATGTAAACACAACAAAGTAAAACTAAATGGATACTGAAGTTCTGGATTCTTTTACTCAATCCAATGCATACCATAATCCTAAAGTAATATAGTAGGTTTGCTGATTAGAAGAACTTAAAAGTTTCAAGAAGAGATAGGCTTTTGTTTCTTATTTACGAGTCAGGAAAGGTCTTGAAACAAGAATAGGGCTCAATGAAGAGCTTCCACTAGGAAGAAGGCATCAAGGTTTCCCAGCAGCATCTGATAATCTTGCCCCTCCGGTTTCATGCCCTGAGCAGAAAGAAAAATTAGACACCAATAAAGACTGACTCCTGGGGCTGGAGAGATGGCTCAGCAGTTAAGAGCACTGACTGCTCTTGCAGAGGAACCAAATTTGATTTCCAGCACCCACATGGTAGCTAACAACCATCTGTAACTCCAATCTGGGGGGAGTCCAATGCCTTTTTCTGACCTCCATGGGCACTGAACAACACAGTTGCACTCACACATACAGGCAATACAGTCATACATATAAAATAAAAATAATAAATAAAATATTTTAAAAAGACTGACTCCTATGAGTATGGCCAATCACTGCAGATGGCCATAACCAGCACTTTGCACTGTTCTAGACTATGCTTTTAGAGCTTTTGGTGCTCTTCCAGAATTTTCTACCTGAAGTTTGGGTGGGGTAACTCTCTAATGTTGCAAATGTATGTTCCATATCTCCATGTCTTACTGGGGCAATACTGACTGTGGAAGAAAGTGCATTCAAGAGATTAGACTGTATTAGTTTCTATACTATCAGTCAGAAAAGCTCAATCTGTTGTACTCATTTTTCTTGTTAATTTCATTAAATGGAAGAAAGGCATTTATTACTGAACTACTGAAAAGCAATACTCTCTACTTCATGGTAAAACTCTAGAAAGAATTTAATCATTAAAATAAAGTACAATATGCTAGGTGTGGTGGTGCATACCTTTAATCTCAGCACTTGGGAGGCAGAGGCAGGCGGATCTCTGTGAGTTCAAGGCCAGCCTGATCTACATAGTGAGTTCCAGGACAGCCAGGGCTACAGGGAGACCCTGTCTCAAAAAGACCAAAAATAAAAAATAAAATAAAAAGTACAATTAGTGCTCAAAAATGCTGAAATTACCAACGCATCATACTTAATAATGATATATAAAACATAAAATGCACAGTATGTAAAATAAAGTTCATAAAGTTAAATATTCAAAGTCCATGTATATAAACATAAATCATGTATAATAATAGGAATAGATCCACATTTTATGTATTTTGATGCCTATACTAATTGAAGATTTTCATTTTTATGT